AATGTGAAAGGGGAGAAAGGTGGGATGAAGTCGTATGAATTGGATCATTCGGACCCATTTTCGATGGGAAATGGGTCATTAGAACATGCAGAGGTGGCTGTTGAAATTGACATGCAGTAAAACAAGTATAAGAAAAATGTTGAGGAGGTAAACAGGTGAACTGGAGGAAATGCCAGGGCAGAGCTTAATCGAGCAGATTTCATTGGCAACACAAAGTATCTGATGAGTGCAGTAAATTCTTGACCTGAATTGACTGAGCGGAAGCAAGTGATTGATAAGCACACTAATATTGCTATTGCGCACACTGAGCTTCCTAGCATGATCAGGGGGAAAGTGAAATGATGATCAGAGGTGGAATTTAGAAGACTGAGCTTCCTAGCATGCTCAGGGGAAAAAGGAGATGAAATGGATAAACTGAGGTTCGCTATAATGTATCTCAGGGAGTCCGATGTTTCCGATGTTGATGCTAGTGCATTTCGATACGTGAAGAAGTATAAAGTCAATAAATATCACATTAGCATCAACAGATATCACATTCACAAATTATTGCCGATGTTGATGCTAGTGCATTTCAGTATGTGAAGAAGTATAAAGTCTATAAATATCACATTAGCATCAACAAATTATTTCATCTAATCCCAGTTAAACATTGTATCACAGCAGACAAAGGTCATNTTGCCGATGTTGATGCTAGAGCATTTCAGTATGTGAAGAAGTATAAAGTCAATAAATATCATATTAGCATCAACAAATTATTTCATCTAATCCCTGTTAAACATTGTATCACAGCAGACAAAGGTCATGGGCTCAAGTCTCAATCCCACCCAGTGCTGAAAATTGTGCACATATCATCCCTTTGACAAATAAGTGAATTGGCTTCCACGTGAGGGACATGTTGATGAAAATATGAAAAATAAATAAAATTGTCCCATCTCTACAAGCTTAACCTCTTAGAGAAGATGGTTCAAAACTGGAGATATCTAGAGATGTTCATGCAACACATATTCAGAGTCAGAAAAGGTAAGAGTTGAATACCTGAACAGTATGATCCTTCAAAATATGTCTGCAATCATAATTTCCTGATTCAGATCCTTTCCAGACTCGAACTGTCTGCAAAGAGCACAACACGAGTATTGAATGTAAAGCAACCAACTAATTTGCAATACATCAAAGTATATAGCCATAAATAAATAAATTGAAATCAAACCTTGTGATCATTACTTGTTATATCACAGACAATCGCAATCAGAAAGTGCCACGAAGAATCAACCAATATTGACATTTTCTGTTTGGTTGGTTGAATCATTTTTGCCAAGAATCATGTTTTTCCTTCCCCCCCTCCTTTCTCCTGTCTAATTTAGTCCTCATATATACTTGTTGACAGATTTTGCATCAAAGATCCGAGTACATGTTACGTTGTTCCAATCAATCCCAAAACATGAAAGAATATATTGCAAATAAAAATAACAAGGCTACAAAATGAATTTGGTACAACATAATCAGCACTCCTTGTGAATCTAGTGAATCATGAACATTGAATATTAACGAATTCAATCAGATTTAATCACGTGACTTCAGTCATGAATTGAATAGTATTTTTTCAAACTGAACAATGATGTCATGGTATGGGCCTGTATTTTATCCTATTTGGGCTTGTATTATTGTGGGC